CTATTGTTATATAGCCTTCAGAAAAATTGCTTAAATAACAATATTATTATAAAGTTTATCTGACTGTATCAGTTTTACGATACTTTTATCGTAGAATACATTTATAAGAAAATTAAAAATTGGACACCTTATTACTATTCTATTTTATGTTACGTTATTATAAGCTAAACGCCCTTAATACAGATATATGTTGCCTAAATGACACCAAATCAGATCTTTCGAAATTAGCCTGTACCTCTTTCCTGAAATTGCCATGCACTTCTTCTTGATATTATCCAGCAAGAAATGCTTGACATATTGATAATTAGCAATAGGTACCTATATCAATTATCACTGGAATTAAAACAAGAAATGTCAAGATTTTTCTGCAGCGTAGGTAGATAAACTAAGTTTTAGGTTAGTGCTATAACATTTTTATAAGGTTACACTAATAATAATTTTGTATTTTGTGAGACACTTCTGTTATTTAACCCTTTTTTAAATGCTTTATTCAATTTTGTTCCACAACAATTATAAAATAATTTTATAAGAGTATTGAACGGAACTAAATTATTGCTAAGAATGAACTGTTTTATAAATTATTCTCCATAAATACTATAAAATCTTATGATAAAGCCGTAATAAATCAAAATGCATACTTTTATAAGTGATATATATCTGTTTGGGAATATTGGTATAAAGCAACTACAAAATATATCTATCTCAAACATAAACAGTTTTATAAGTCTTGTCATATAAATATTTATGAGCAAGTTAATTACCAAACTTATAAAATTGTTATTTAAATTAATCTTGAAAATATCTATATAGCAAAATAACAAAATAAATTTGTTTTCATGATACATTTGTATCTATCGAGTCTCTTAAAAATCAGTTTTATTACTTCAAATGCTCTAACAAATCGGATATAAAGCACTTCAGTCTAATAACAATATTTCTGTGCTACTTGGGTGGCGCAAAGAAACACATTTGGAACAAATTTAAACTAAAAATAAGTCTCCGAATGATTTGCAACACTATTGAATAGCTCTAATTCAGGTTGTTTTATTGTTGAATGTGAACTTTAACACACTACGTTGGATAAATTTTGATAAAAAATTGTGGAATTATCGTTGAAATTCAATCTAACCCCGATTAAGAAAGTATGTGTTGATCTTTCAAAAAAGGCACAAGGAAACACTTGGTACAAATTTAGAACATTTTCTGGTTTTGAATGCAAATTTGAACCAAATATTCGTCTACGATAAGTCTACACGTCTATGGAGGATAACTTTCAGTTCCAATTTAAATTGTTTTTTTTTTTTTTTAACGCAGACTTTAAATGTCGTTGAAATGCAATTTTCCACTAATTATGGATATTTTTTCTAAATATCTCAATAGCAAAAGCCAAAAGAAAGCACTTGGTAAGACAAAGTAAGACCATTTTGTGGTTTTGAATTCAATTTTGAACCAAAAGTTTAAGACAATGTTGGATAGATTTTGATCGAAAAGAAAGAAACAATTGCAGAAAATGTTGTTCAAATGCAATCTTTCACCAATTTGAGACAGATTCTGCTTATATTTGCAATTATAGAAAAAAAAAACCGGGAAATACGTTTGGAGCAACTTTAGACCAGTTTCTCTATTTTTAAATGCAAAATTAGATGAAAAAACGTGATATTTTAGATAGATGTTGGATGGTACATTATATTAAAAAGTTAGACCATTTTGGGGTTTTGAATTCAATTTTGAACCAAAAATAGGTCTACTATAGTTTATTAAGACTACTTTGAATAGATTTTCTTCGAAAAGAAAGAAACAATTGCGGAAGATGTAGTTGAAATGCAATATTTCACCAATTTTGGACAAACTCTGTTGATATTGGGAATTATAGAAAAAATAACAAGGAAACACGTTTATGTTAGATAGTTAGACCATTTTCTATTTTTAAATGCAAAATTGGATCGAAAACACGTGTCTAAATGGAGTAATAATGTGTAATTATTTTTCCCCAATTTAGCTACTTCGTTGGAATCGTATATTAATTGAAAACAAGTAGAAAATTGCGGAAAATGTCCTCAATGTAATCTCACACCGAACTAGGACAGTCTTGCTTGATATTTAAATAGAAGAAAGGTACAAAAAAACACATTTGAAACTTTATTTCATTTTCTGGTTTTGAATGAAAATTTAGAGTAAAAATTAAAATACATCTCCGAATGATCCATGTCACTATAAGCTGCATTTTGGGTTGTTGTTATATTGTTAAAAGTAAACTTTAACACATTTGATACTATGTTGGGTATATCAGAAAAAAAAAGCACAAGGAAATCATATTTAGAACAAAGAACGATTTTCTGATTTTAAAGGCAGATTTGAACAGAAAATAGGTATCTTAACGGATTTGTATGACTATTTGCTCTAATTAGGGTTGTTCTAATATTTAAAACAAAATTTATCAAATTCAGGACAGATCGCGGATAATATCGCTGAAATGCAACCTTACAGCTATTCAGGAATGTTGAAAGTGATTTAAAGCAAATTGCTCCGTTGAAAATAATATTAAAGCACTTGGTCTTAAACCAACTTAAAAACATTTATTACGCGTGAGGATCTTTTCACAATATTCTACTTATTACTAAAAAACAATAATGATAAGTACTTAATAACTATTTTTACAAAATATATATCAGTTAGATTTGTTCAATCTTGAACTTCTGCTTCGGAATTTTCATAGACATCTCTTTGCGAATGTGTGTATATAGCGAGATTTCTCCATTTCGCGCTTGTGTGACTTTATTTTTTCAGATAAAAATATTATATTTCTTACATAACCTCAGGCATACTTTTTAATAATATGCAATTTCATGCGATGCAGACTTCACATTCTCGCTTTATTTCTATCAGCTTATTTGGTCAAAATTATTTCCATAATCGTCGATAGGTTAGTGACTAACGTTTCACTTTGGAAATAGGATGACGGTACACGTCAGTAAGGATCTGGATTTTTTTTTTAAGAATTCAATCCGATCTATCTCGATAGACCGTGAATCAATTGAAAAATAGAAGTCCTAAAACCTAATGAGTTTTTGTATAGATGATCAGCACTGGCCTTTTCCTTATTGATGTTCCCTCTTGCCTCACCCTGACCTTAATTGCTGTTTCGGTTGAAAGACCTTTTTTATTTTTAATTATTTAAAGGCAAGAAAATTATAGATTCCTGTGCTCGCGAATAACTAATCCCAGGTAGTGCGACTGATTTAGGATAGGTTGCGCTAGTGTCTAACAAGAGTTTCAGTCAATGGTTGATAGTACGCGTGATGGTGGATAGATGGCGCAGGCGGCGGCTGATATTTACAGTGCTGATATTGTGCCTTCTCTCTCTCACACCCGCAGAGACAGGGTATAGTGCTGTCTCTCTCGCACCCATGGGGTGGAGCCTATGATGGTGAACATACCATCTTACTCTACTTTGGGACTTTATTAAGAGCCCAAAATGATCAAAAATTTATGGTCGTTTCAACCAATTATTTTAAGCGAGCCCTAATGATAAGTATTTCCTAAAATAACATTTTTACATGGAGAAATGTCAGTTTAAAGCATAACTATCATTAGGGCTTCCCTAAAATAGTTGGTGGAAATAAGCATTAATTTTTTAACCAATCAGGAACTGGGAAAATTTAAAATTTGAAGCTAATTAAGAGCCGGAAATAATCAAAAATTTAATTTCTAAACCAATCAAGAGCCAGGAAAATTTTAAAAAATCAATTTCTAAACCAATAATTAAGAACTGGGAAAATAAAAAAAAAAATGATTTTGGAAGCCAATCGAAAGCCGAAAAAAGTCAAAAATTGATTTTTTAAGCTAATGAAAAGCCGGGAAAAATTTAAAATTTGAAGCCTATCAAGAACCTGGAATAATCAAAAATTCAATTTCTAAACCAATCAAAAGCCGAAAAAATTTAAAAAATCAATTTCTTAATCAATCAAGAGCTGAAATAATTCAAAAATTGAATTTCTAAACCAATGTAAGAGCCCGAAATATTTAAAATTTGAATTTCTAAGCCAATCAAGAGCCGGGAAAATTCAAATTGTTCATGACCATGTTAAGATTTTGAAAATTTTCCAGAATCAAAATCTCAAACCTTAATTGTTCAATAACCGTTGAGCAAATTGCATTGAAATTTTCAGCAATTGTGGCTTTTATTAGCCTGTAAATTTCAATAATCCTAAATTTATAGTTTTTAAGCAAATTGAATTTGGAGTTTTTGGCAAAATTTAGACTAAACTTCAAGTTGAGGCTTAATTGCTGAAAAACTATTTGAGCTATTGAACTCAATCTTGCATGGATTTATAGAGAATTTTATGCTCTTTCCAATGATATATAATTTATTTCAATTTACTCAAATATCCGACGATATAACGAAGAAATTTGACCAACATTGTAACTTGTAGCATTCTCCATATTCTAATACTATCTCATCATCCTTATCTTGGACACACGTATTTTAAAGGCACATTAATAATTATCAAACATTAGCAAAATACATACCTATTCCAAAAATAAAACCTCAAAAAATATTTAATCAATAAACAGTTATTAAAAATACCTACTGCGTGCTCATTCATATCTATATTTAATTTATTTAATATTAAAAATTGTTTAAATATAAAAAGACGGTCAATTTGGGATTTTAAGGTTAAATATAAAGGATATTTAGAAACATAACCTAATAAAATTAATAACTTTAATAATTTCTTTTCCATACAAAAATCACAACTTACCCAAAATATCCTCAATATTAAAACAAAACTTTTAACAAATTGATTTGCCATTCAAGTCCAAATTGGAAGCCAGTTCAGTTTAAAATAGATTTGTAATGAGACTGAAGCTACTTTATTTAACCAGCACGACTCTATTTAAATTAGGCTTGATTACTTTGCGACAAATTGAACAAATTGGATGCACATATGGAAAATAAATTATTTTCTTAAAGAAAAAAAATTACTTAATAAACTCACCTATTTCCGGACTGGAAAACCTCTTTTCACAGGTCGAATCCTTCTGTATCGGTACGGAACGATTACTGCACCAACTGGAACCCGAACCGTCGTATTCGCATTTGCATTTAGCAAAAAAACTTCCGCAACGATGGCCATTATTCAAACTAACCCGACCCGGATCCTTATCGGTGCTTTTGTTCAAATTCTGTTGTTGTTGGAATCGACATTGTGGCAACTGGATCTGGTTTTCATTTTGAAGTTGTTCCGTGTAGGAGTCTTTACGCGCATGGACCAGCATCGCCGTAGCTGGATACGTGGTGTAACTGGGTTCTTGGATGTGTAGCTTATTTATGGTGGAGTGGGCCATCGGAGTCTGGAAATAGACGGATTTATAATTAGTATTTTAATGCGTCATTTTTTGCGATATTTCAAAGTGGAGAATTTTCAATTTGTTATGATAATCTCGATAGGGGTTTGAAAGTTTGTGGAATTTTTTAAATCATTTAAGTAGGTTCCCATATTTGGTAGGTAGGTATCAGAGCTATCAATATTTGAAGTAAATTATTTTACTTTAAGTATTGAGAATCCGGCTGCGATTTGATGGCTTTATGGCTGAAATTCTATTGAAAAATTGACTGACTGACTGAAGTATTCAACTAACATTATATAAGTATCTGAATGGGTAATAACGGTAATAACCCCTATAACACGTATGATATTTTTCTTCAGGTAATAACACTGGTAATTGAAATTTGAGTACCTACTCAACTAACATTGTAGGTACCTGGCCAAAAAGTATTTCAAAAGAAGAAAGCTTTTCCAATTTGCATATTGTGTGACAGTATATAGTGTCATAAACCAATAAACTCTTCATTAATAATACGATGCTCACTATACATTTATTTACAGTAAATTCCATCATCTGTTTAGTTTAGCTCCATGTTTTAATGATAGGTACTTTATAACTTTATTACTTATTTAACGCTTGGAATTATTATACAGCTTCTTTCTATGATTTCTATTGCAAGAACCCCAATTATTATCCTTGCCGCCAAGGCGCCAGAGACTGTAGAGTAGACCCTTCTTTTATTTTATTGTCTAGACGGCCAGAATTTTCTTATACCTTTAGAATTTTAGTGTTTATGATTTTATTTCACAAACTTTTCAAAATAAACTTTACATCTGTATAGAATTAGGTACCTTTATATTTTATTACTTGAAGACGACGCCCTCCTTAAGGACAATCTCATGAAGCCGTTTTCTTGGGAGAAGAAAGACTGAGGACAAGACACTCTGAATCCGGGCTTCAAACCGAAAACACGAAGTTATTTTAAATTAGTCAAAGCTTCCCTCTTGCCAAGCTATTTAATTTTATTTTACTTTTAATAAACGAAACCTTTTTTTTTAAACGAAAGTTAGAGTTTCAATTGCCGAGTCGGGACGATTATAACACAACGTATAATGGGTAAATCGTAATAAGCTCATCTGAAATTGATAAGTATTGTAATTTCAACAAATAGAAATATTATAATAACCGTCAGGTCGGCTGATTGTCTATTGGGGGAAAAGCCGTCAGTCAGCCGATAGAAAATTTCGCGCGTCGTATAATTGACGTTTTCAATTAAAAGAGATGGACAACAAAGTATGAAAACAATCATTTTCCCGCCAAAATTTGCTTGCTTGTCAATGCCAGTGTGTATTGGGTGTTTTGAAAGAAAATGTGGGAAAAGTCACTACTTTATTTGCAGAACTTCGCTATGGAGAAAGCGGTGGATTATTTTGGAAGCAAACAGCTCCCGCAAACTAAACTTGAACGTGGATTACTGTGTATACTTGATAGGCCGTGGATTTTCCTTTTTTTTGCGAGTATTCTTTCTGATTTTATGTATCCAAAATTTGAGAAATGTAGGATTTGATGGAAACCTATGGAAAGACACCTCCGCCGGTAAATAGGAATTATTTTTACAAAAAGGCACACTACACAATCATTATTGTTAGGAAAAAACATTGAAAAAACCGAAGAAATAATAGTTTCCAGTTTCTACATGTACAAAAGTCTTGTCAACAAACCACTGTCAGCGGCTGTCAACCGTTGTTTTCATACTCTTTTGGCGTCTGACAGTTAGACGCCAGAGAAAGAGGGTTTTAAATTGAAAAGGTCAATTGCATGAGCGCGCTCATACATTTTCGTCCTGACTGACGGTCTTACCCCCACTAGGCAGGCAGCTGACGGTCATTATTATATTTCTATGTATGTATGAAATCATGTGTAAAAATTTCAAGCGAGATGAAATAATTTTAAATTAATATTTTTTTGTCAAGTTCACGCGCTCGACTGACGCACCATCCCTCCTCTGCCGCACGGCTGACGGTCTTTTTCTTTTTCTAATTTTTATAAATAATGTGTGTGAACAATTTCAGCTGGGATGAAATAACTTTAGAAAACTTTTTTTTCACAAGTTCCGCAGCCTCCCACGCGTCTACCCACCGCTACTAGACTTACTAACGGTCGGTTTCGTCATTAGAAATGTGACTACAATGCACGGTATTAATCTCAGCCGTGATGAAATTCTTCGAAAAAAAAAGCCGCTGCCTCCCGGACTATAAACAACGCGTAGACAATGTAAACTATGTAACCTATGTAGACAACGTGTAAAATATGTAGACAACGCGTAAAGTATACAATTTTTGACAATTGGCAAGTCTTTGAAGTTTATGTTTCTTTTTTTGCTTTGTTTTGTTTTTTACTCTGTAAAGTTAATTGAACTACGGATAAATGTCTAATTTGATACAATATAAATTTAGTGCAATACAAACTTTCAAAAAAATTACTCATATTTCAAATTTTCTGTTGTCTACATTAGAGAAATTCTAGCGTTTAACCGGTCGGTTATACTTGACAGATAAACAATGAAGTAAACGTCATTTGTTGACCAATTGGTCTTGAATGACGTAAAATGCGTTGCTCATCTGTCAGAGTAACCGACTGGTCAATCACTTGAAAACCCCTTAAGTCTACATAGTTTACATGGAGAAAAGTGGATGTAAACAATACGTCGACAACAAGTAGACAAATTACGTAGGGTTGCCAGATTTTCAAAATTGAAAAGCGGGAGGTAGTGAATGGGAAAGGAAATTTTTTTGAGGTGCCACGCCCTAATGTTGTCACATTTTATTATATACCTACAGAGTGTACGAAAAGTAACGGGACGATCAATTATTTCTGAAACCCAATGTTGAAACCAGAGGTGCAATTAAAACAAATTCTTATTTATTATTCAAGACGAATTCAAAAACTGTATGGACGTTGTTGCCAGTCATACCAATAATAGTTATTACAAGAGGAAAAATTTTGTTGGCACTGGACTACACAACTTATACTTGGACCAAGTAAGTTGGCAGCCAGCGTTCTTACTTGGATGTTAGATGTTAATATTATACATAATATAGGTACCAACTATTTTATTTTTTTCAAAAACATTTACTACCCAATATGATTATGGGTTCCGGGCACAAATTTTTTAGAACAAGCTGTTAGAGTTTATGCAGTGGAACCCAAATCACAAAACATATTTACAGTTGCAACCTCGGTTGCAACATTACTTTTTTATTGCAGTAAAGTTGCAAACCCAATCTATTTGTAATAAAAATGCAATATTGCAGTAAACTTACTAATAAATTGCAAGTAATTCTAAGGTATATTTGAATTTGTAACCTTACACTCGTAAGTTTGCTGAAGTTTTGATCTAATATTCCAGTAATATTGCTGAAAGATTATCATTTATAAACCTTGCATTTGTAATATTACCCTAAGGTTGTTTCAGTACTTGCCGCAATACTGCGTAAACATTACAGTAAACTTTAATATAACCTTACAAGTTTGCAGTGTGATGTTACCTCACTATTACTGTAATCTTATTTTGTTAAAGTTTGACTGTGATAGGATTTAAATAGTGATTATTGTTGTAAAGAGTTTAACTGTTGAGTTAGTAATTAAAGTAATAAGAAGTGTCGGAGTGTATTGTTACGTGGAATAAATTATTGCTGTGTTAAGTGGACTTTGATTTTTGGAATAAACGAAACGAACCCAAGATTTCTGTCAGGCAATTCAGAACCGTGACAATACGATTAAAGTGTCGTCTAAGTGAGGGGTGCGCAGCGTCCAAAACACCAATAGACCAATACTTGGACCGTGTCAACTGAACCTGGCTTAAATTAAGTGGAGCTTGGTGGTAGAGAATTCTTGAAGCTCAATCAAACCCCCTTTACAATCTACAGAGTCAGCGTCACAACGAAGGTAGGATATATACCTTCAGTTCAGATTTGATGCCCAAGCTCTCAGGCTTGAGTAGTTCTGTCACCGTTGGGTTGTCATGAAGTATTAAAATTATGGTAAAAATAAATCACGGCACCTAATTCAGAATTATATTTCAGTGATACTTCGCTTCAATTCGTTTTCGATGCATCTTTTTAAAATTTTGAAATAACGTATTTATATAAAATTCCTGTTAATTTATAGAAGGCAGCATATTTTCAAGGATGATACACACCTACAGGATTGCCTGTCGGTCTCGTTTTTCGTAATAGCCGCCATATTGGTGTGTCACCATTTTCGACGTCATAACTAAGTTATCAGCGAAGGTTACTAAGGTTGCCTGGTAATGAATGGGTAACCTGATGACACACCTGGGGTGCTTTATGGAGATTTGCATTATTTTAAGGTCCTCCAGATAACGTCATAAAGTTACCAGGTATCGTATCTCTCTCAAACAACCTTGGTCGTCAGCTGCTTAAACAGCCAACATCAAGGCAAGAAATAACATGCTGTCTACGTCACAACTAGTAATTTGGCGTGGGGGGGATTTGTTACACACAGGCCTTATAAGGATAGGCCATCCTGTAGTAGTAGTCTGTATCATCCAATGAACTATAGTCAAAAACTGGAATGCGCACACATTGCCATATCTGCCAAAAAAATGAAGCCATGAAAGACAGATGCCACAAGGGGGAATGTTGTTTTTTTCTGTTGCTCGCTGACATGTGACGTTTTGGAAAGTTTTGTCATATTTACCTTCACAGGTTTCATCAATTGGAATACGTGTTGGAAGCAATTTTCGCCATTTAACATAATGAGTGCGACAAAAACAGGTATCCCCTCCGCAGCAGCGGCACTAGGCTTCACGTTCGTGAATATCTGTTCGCATTCCAGTTTTTGGTTATAGTTCATTGGTATCCTTGCCATTTTTTTTTGTGAGCTTGTCATATCGTAAGTCAATATTGTCAATGATGCTTTTATGTCAACCAGAGATAAATACTATATAAACTGTCGAGAATGGAATCTCAGTGTAAATTTTGTTGTCAACAAAATTGAGCCAAGCCAGCGCCATCTACCATATCGGAAAATCACTATTTACTGGTTTTGCATCGATGCTACAGACACCTACTTTACAAAGGACTTTTTATGATAGATAGCGCCCTATTCGCATTACTGTCGGTCTCTTCAAATTCGTTTATTCTGGACTTTGGAGCATTAATGTTTGCTTAAATTAATTGATATTTTGTTAATTAGATCAAAAGACAGTTTCTTTATCGATGGTTAAGGGATCCTTAACATATTTATTCAAAGTTCTGATTGATGTTTAATTGATCCTGTCATTTATCTAATCAACAAAGATAAAAATAGATCTTCCAATCTATAAAGTTTGAAGTTCTTCTTGAAACACACAAAACAACTTTGAAATCACTTAAGAACACTTCTTGACAACACAAAGAAAGATGAAATGCAAGACTGGCGAACAAAAAACATTATGAATTATTAGTTATGATCAAACGAATATTTTGGCATATTGTCATATGTTGACATGTCAGTTATCGACATCGGACGTGTTTTTGATGTGCCTCTGGTATTTTCCAATTTTGACAATTCTGTGGTTGTCAGCGACATCTAGAAAAACGGAAAAGAGTTATTACGTGGTTTATAACTGGCAATGAGAGATCGCAGGGCCTGATGTCAACTGTCAACATTATCCTTCCAAACTTCAAGTCAAGCAAATCCGGCTTTCATGCTTTTTGCTTTTATAAACATGCTGCTGTGTCATAATGTAAGAAACAAAGAAGAGAAACTAACACAATACAACATAGTAGATGATACCTAGATGGCGTTGAGTATCCATATTTTTTAGTATTAATATATGTACAGGGTGGTCCAAATTGGGCACTTTCTTATGGAAACACCCTTTATTTTTAGAGATAGAAGAAAATGAACCCCCCACTCTGAGGTTCAAATTTCATGAAATTTTGATTGGTGCAAACCGCATTTTGATATCTTCAACCGTTTAGCCACTAGAGGGCGATTCTCGATTTTGAGCAATACTGTGAAACCTTCATAACTTTTTTGTTTATGAAAATAATTGATTTCCGTGAAGACTTTCTAAGAGCACTTTTTTAAGAAGAATTCAGTGACGTTCTCAGTTTCTTTCTAATTGACTCGGATTTCGAGATATTGACCAAAATCCGATTTTTTTCAATAGAACACCCTATATATTAATAGCTTATTGGAAAGCTCTGCTTTTGCTGATTTCAATGATATAAAGTTCAATAGGTTTATCCCTAACAGTTTTCGAGAAAAAAAATTATTTCTGTTTTTGTCATAAGAAACAATGTGTTAGAAAGAGACCTTTCTCGTTTTCTTTACAGATATAAAGTCCTTTTTCAACACATTGTGTCTTATGACAAAAATCTAAATAATTTTTTTCTCGGAAACCGTTGGAGATAAACCTATCTAATTTTATATAATTGAAATCAGCAAAAGCAGAGCTTTTCAATGAGCTATTAATATATAGGATGTCCCATTGAAAAAAATCGGATTTTGGTCAATATCTCGGAATCGGTGTCAAATAGAAAAAAGCTGAGAACGTCACTGAATTCCACTTAAAAAAGTGCTTCCAGAAAGTCTTTACAGAAATGAATTATTTTCATAAATAATCAATCAAAATGCGGTTTGCACCAATCAAAATTTCATGAAATTTGAGCCTCAGAGTGGGGGGTTCATTTGTTTCTATCTCTAAAAATGAAGGGTGTTTCCATAAGAAAGTGTCCAAATTGGCCCACCCTGTACAATGAAAATATATTAGGGGTGCTAAAAATTTTAAAAAAGAGTGGGAAAAATTAAGTAGATTTTCCACTAGTCTAAAAATTTTTCGCCACCATTTTTTTCTCCTAGTGAATAATGAAAAAATCTCTTGTTTAGTGAATAGTCTAGGTTCAGAGTTGGCAACACCGACTCCAAGGATTTATTTCTTAAACAACAATTTTAAAGTAGGCAATGCCATGTCTGTATTTCTCAGTGGTATTTTTTACCAACACAAATGTCACTTTTGACATTAAATTTAATTTGTCAAGACGGCAATTTCATTCAAAAGTGTTGAAAAAATGGATAAATTTGCGGAAGTGAATCGAGAAAATAAGGAGCCGGGAGGAAACTGGAGCGATTCTTCATCTACAAGCACCAGCCTCTACGGTGACTGTGAAGATGAGGTAAGTTTGAAGAAAATTATTAATTTTCAACCGATTTTATTTATTTTGTGCATTTTTCTTTTTCAATAATAAAATTACTCAATATTTCCGGTATAAATTATTAAAATATTGACATAATCTGTCCTTATGGGTGTAAGTAAAGAACCGTCAAACGTAAAAATACTTAAACCTAATAGGAACTACTTATTGAGCTGAAAATGTCTGCCATTTCAGCCGCAGACCTAAACTGTTGGCGTAAACGTTATAATCTTATTAAAATCACCTTTTCTACATTTAAAATCGACACAACCTGAATCGCAAACATCCCATCGAGACCTGCGGATGACGTCACCACTATAAGCTGCTATACTTATATTATATTGCTAATAAAGATGACGTCACTCGCAGGCCCTACTGACTCGAAAATTGACCAATGTACGCCTTATGAAAATGAGCAATCCTGTTAATTTAAATTTCTTGCGTCAGATGCATTAGTTTATAAATTTCGAAATAATTCAATCAAATTTTTATTTATTTCCATCAGATCTGTCTGTACATACCTAGCGGCACCAGCAGCAGCGATTCCGGCTCCGAAGATGAAACTTGCCCGAAAAAACGTCGGCGCAAAATTCCCCTCGATTCGTCTCAGCCCAGCACTAGCAACACTTTAGTGCGCAAACGCAGATGCAACTTACCAAAAGAAGCCATCAAAATAATGAAACGTTGGCTTTGCGATAATAAATACAACGCTTACCCTAGCGATTCTGATAAGCTGATGATTGCTAGGGTAACTGGATTGACAGTGTTGCAAGTTTGCAACTGGTTCATTAATGCCCGTAGAAGAATTTTGCCAGAATTGATTCGTAGGGAAGGCAACGATCCCTCTTACTATACAATAACTCACAGAGGTAAAAGGATGAGTTTAGCTGCCAATAATGGATGGCACAAATACGAATCCAGAGATAGAGTTGGAAGACCTGAAAGCGATCTTACCGAAGAGGAAAGAAGAGAGTTTCAGCTGACGGAAACTGACGAGGAGGATTACGCTTGGTCGTGTTTTTACCGGAAGAATCAAGTTCCAAAATCTAATTTCGCACCGTCAGTTCCTAAAGTCATTGTGGAATGTATACCTCAGCTTAGTGTTGCTGAACTTGCGACGATCAGAGAAAATGGGGTACTGGTAGAAACTGAGGTAGCTCAGAATAATGTCATTGAAAAGGAAGAAAATAAATGACTAAAATATGGAAAATTGCTATATAGATGTTAAAAGTTATTTGTTGAGTTTGTAATTTTAATGATAATTGCTGTATGTTATTGATTGAGAATGTTACTTTTTTTTATGTAATAAAATTATTTAGAGAAGAAAAGATGTTTTGCGTTCAATAGACAGCTTTTTCATAAGCTAGCATTACAGTGCCTAAATAAATAAACCTTTACATACAGTGGCGACAATAGAGGTCCCGCCGCCATTTTGTTCCCAACCTCTTATTACTCCTAAATATCAATATATAGGATTTAAATAGACATCTATCATAAAAAATTGAGATCGACGTGTTTGATGACTATTATTAGGACCATCAAATACGTTGTTTTCCATGGTTTATGATGGATGTTAACCCAAATCCCATATATTCATATTTGAAATAAGCAATAGGTGGGAACAAGATGGCCGCGTTTCCCATATAAATATATGGGATTTTAGAACCAATCAAAAATAAGACAGCAATTGTCGCCACTGTGGGTAATAGAGTCACTGTAGCTAGCATTTGACACAAAACAAGTAGGCCTTGTAATAATGTAATTTGTGACAGCCTGCCATTTTTAATTGACGTATTTACATTTTTATCCAGTTTTTCCTCGAATTTTCCGATTTTGCAGGCCGTTTTCAGTCGGAAAAACCGATTTAAAATACGAGGCTTTGGATTTCTTACATTTTGTGCTAAAAATTTTCAGTTTTCCAAGTGACAAAAACTCTAGTTTTATCAAGTAAGCTTTGGAATGTTGGTTTTTCTTCGGATTTTCGCTTTTTTAGGGCCTGATTAATCCGAAAAAAGTAGTTTTAAAGGCCTAATTTTTTTATCAAAAACTTTCATTTTTAGATCTAAACTGTATCCTACTTTATCTCCCTCTTTGTCTTACTTACTATCAAACGGGTCTTGCATGGGCGCCCGGAGGGGGGGGCAGGGGGGGGCATCTGCCCCCCCCTGGCTTTTAATATAAATACCTACTTAAAAATAAAAGAGAAAAAAAAAATAATTAGGTAAAGCTTCACCTCTTGACGTATTATCGAAAACCAAAGAATTTTATCCATCCATTTTTCTGGCTTTATCTCTGGCCATGAGCATTCCGCCAACGACCTGCACAGCTGAACGATCATTCAGCACCTTATGAAGATTAAAGACCTGGTTAAAATCGACCATGTCAAATGAAAAACTGGATGGCTTGGCTATGGTGTCAATTCATCGATCGGAAAAATGTATTTTTTTAATTTGGAATATTCCATTTACGTTGTGTTGTTTTAGTTTTGATTACAATTTTTTTAAATTTTTTTCCCACAAGGAAAAGTAATTTGTGCACCTATCAAAAGATACAGAGAATTAACTTTTTTTCCCGTCCGAAATAAAAGTATTTCCAAATTGTTTTATTTTTTATTGTTTATTATATTAGTTACAAATAGCAAAATTTGGGGGTGGCCCAAAAAAAAATTTTCGCCTGCGGTGCGTTTTCCACGATTCCCACAAGAGCAGTTTATTTGCCCCCCCCCTGTGACAAATTCTGCGGGCGCCGTTGGGGTCTTGGAATGTCATTTTCATTAAATTTTGTTAAAAATAATTTTCCATTGCATTATTTTGGTAACTTATTATTTTATAAACATTATTAATAATTCATTGTTTAATTAAATTCAAAACAAAAAACCATTTAAAATTTAAAAAAATTCCTATTTGAGATGTGGCAACGTCGTTTTCAATCAAGTAATCCTTGTATTGAAATGTCATTTGTCACTTTTCTTTTGACAGTCAGCCATTTTTTAATTGACGTATTTACATTTTTATCCAGTTTTTCCTCGAACTTTCCGCTTTTCTAGGCCATTTTCAGTCGAGAAAAATGGTTTGAAATACGAAGCTTTGGATTTCCTACATTTTGTGCCAAAAATTTCCAGTTTTTCAATGGGGTAAGTGAGAAAGACTTAAGTTTTATCAAGTAGATTTTGGGGTGTTGATTTTTCTTTGGACTTTCTGTTTTTCTACGGCCTTTTTAATCGAAAAAAAAAGACGATTTTAAGGACAAGACTTTAGTTTGCTTCATTTTTTTACCAAAAATTTCTATTTTTAGACCTAAATTATATCCTACTTTATCTCCCTCTTTGTCTTACTTACTATTAAACAGGTCTTAGAATATCATTTTTATTAAATTTTGTTAAAAATAAATTTCCATTGCATTATTTTGGGAACTTATTATTTTATAAACATTATTAATTAATTGTTTAATTAAATTTAAAACAAAAAGCCATTTAAAATTTATTTTTTTCCTATTTGAGATGTGGCAACGTCGCTTTCAATCAATGTTGAAATGTCATTTGCCGCTTTTCTTTTTTTGATAGTCGGCCATTTTTTAATTGATGTGTTTACATTTTTATCCAGTTTTTCTTCGAATTTTCCGCTTTTTCAGGTTGTTTTTAGTTGGGAAAACTGGTTTAAAATACGAGGCTTTGAATTTCATACATTTTATGCCAAAAATTTCTAGTTTTCCAAGGAGGTAAGTAATGAAAACTCAAGTTTTATCAAGAAGGCTTCGGAATGTTATTTTGGCTGGTTTTTCTTTGGATTTTCCGCTTTTCCAGGTCGTTTTCGAGCGGAAAAGCTTATTTAAAATACGAAGCTTTGAGTTTTCTTTATTTCTTAGCAAATATTTCCAGTTTTAAATGCCATAATTAGCAAAATCGCATTTAAAATGCTTATTACTGTAAACTGTACAATAATTTATACATTTTCTGTTAGATGGCGCTAGGGTTGTTGAGCCGTCAGTTGGTGTAGAAAATGGGATTATGGGAAAAAGTCTGTTCTCAGTTCTGTTGTTGTCATTATTCATTAAGAAATAAAAAATTGGAACTAATTACAACCACGTCGTCCTGTGAAAGTTTAGTTTTCGTTATTAAAAAATTTAATTAAATAAATATACTGTTGTATTATTGAAGATCCATGAACCTTTTATACTCATTCTAGAAGTTTTGATGTGGCAACACCACTTCCAACTGCCAACTTCACGACGTTTGAATCTACTAGGGATGAGGAATGCCACCTTTGAAAGTAAGTTGAACCGGAGAAAAAAAAGCCCTTATTGAAGAAAAAAAAAAAAAACTGGAAACAAAAATTCTACAAATCTGATAACTGATGCATTAGGTACACTCTATCTATACACAAGTTCCCCCGGCATTACCGGATGATGCTTCCAGGTTGGGAGCTGAGACAGTTGGAGAGAGAGATCCCAAAGATATTACACACTATACAGGATAAGACACAACCATGGGATAGCCTATCCGCATATGGCCTCTGTAGATCAAATCTCAAGCCCCCACCACGCCAAAGTACCAGTGATGACGTAGACAGCGTATCGTTCCTCGCTTGAACGTAGGATGTTTGCACCATAGGCTATGATGCCGCTATGACTTTAGCTTTATGCATACTTTATTCTAAAACAACCTTTTTTAGATCTCGTTTGCATCTTTTCCTTTGCCTATTATGTTATTTAAAATTAAATAATATTTTTCATCATAAATGTATATTTAAAACTAAGACCGTTGGCGCAAACAATTAACAACACCGTTGATGACGTCGGCTACGATGCAACACCATATGACCTTGATTTCAAAAATCGAGGCCGATGAGCTATGTACTTAGTAGTGTGTAATATTAAACTTTGGTAATATCCTTGAGAGAGAGCAGGAACAGTATTGCGATATTGCTAAATCTAATTTTTTTTCCATGTGTGAAAACCCATAGACACCGGTGGCAACCTTAGAATCTACTGTGCGTTTGGAATTTTGATCTGAGTTCTCGGAGCTTGAAATTACCATTTGTTTATTTAAAAAGTGTGCTCGATGCACGCTCATTCACGCAGCACGAGCATGGGACTACCATAGGGAAAGTCAGACAAGTGGATATTAAGTGAATTGGATTGATAACCAGGATTAATAATCCTGAAATAAACACAAGAGTTCATTCGGATTGGAGTAGGTACTTGATCCGATCCTCCAAAAGACCCCGCACCGCACATTTCTTATGGAAAAGCGATCTATGGGCCGGTTTCTCAATTGCGAGTCACCTCCGGGTTGATTTTAACTCCAGTGTAAGCGTGTCGAGTTGCTATGTTTACCCCGGAGTTATGCTTAACCCGAGGGTGACCTGCTATTGAGAAACCGGTCCTTGGTGGAATTTTGCTGAATTTAGTATGATGTCACCAGTATGCTCAAAATACAGCAACAGGTGCAAATGAAATTGCTACATGACTGATGACGTTTTCAATTAAAAGAGATGGACGATAAAGTATGAAAACATTCAGATTCCCGCCAACATTTGCTTGCTCGTCAATGTCAAGTGTATAGGGTGTTTAGCAATCCCCTGATTTTTATTCTAATCGGTGACTCCACCGATGAGTTAAGTATCTTTGTTGAGTGAATGGAAAATGACAATGACCGACATAGAATGGTGAAATTTGAAATTGGAATGAAAATGTGGGAAGTAAACCGCTTCCGCAAACTAAACTTGAACGTGGATATCTTTGTATACTTCATGGGCCGTGAATTTCCCTTACTTTTGCGAGTATCAGTTCTGATTTTGTGTATCCAAATTTTGACAAATCTAAGATTTGATAAAAACTTATGGAAAGACACGTCCGCCGGTGAACAGGAATTATTTTCACGAAAAGGCACACTACACACAATAACCATTGTTAGGAAAAAACCTTGAAAAAAACGAGGAAATAATAGTTTCCAGTCTCACACATATAAAACTCTTGTCAACAAACCACTGTCAATAGCTGTCAATCATTGTTTTCATACTCTTTTGGCATCTGACAGTCTCACACCAGAGAGAGAGGCTTCTAAATTGAAAAGGTCAATTGGTTTACCCTTGAGTTTACCCATATCAATGACCCATAATACAGTTGTTTACTCAAGGATGATACACATTACTATCACACAGGGTTGCCAGACGTCCCACCTCAGGAGGGACAGTCCCGCATATTGTTAATCGGTCCCGCCTTTTTTTCTTTAATTTCAGGTCCCGCTTTTCACGTGAGTTGTCCCGGTTTTCCCGCTTTTTCCACCCAATCTTCACATTTAATGCAAAAAACACGCTTGTTTACAA